CACCAGTTAGAGCCAATCAGATTACAGCGACCACCAGTGATTTCCAAATGGATGTAATAAATCCTCTTAACCCTTCAAACCCTGGGAGTGACCAGCATCTGATTTCTCCATACAATAATACAGCTGAATCATTCAATAAGCTCATGAGAATAAAGGAAGTGATCGACAAACTAAGAAGCTTTGATTGTCAAACGAATTCTCCTTGTCAGCACTAAAGGAAATGTATAGAGAAGAGTTTGGAGAATATGGATACTGAATGTTAAAGTGTAAAGGCTTCACAAGAAGTGCTATTGAGAGTTAATGGTTAAGATACCTTTCTAAGAACATACAGGTATTTGGGGCTTGTTCCAGGTTTAGAATTCATCTGAGTGCTCTACAAGTTGCTGTTCCCATGGGCACATAAAATAAATGGTATAAAAGGAAAGTTGTTGGAAAAAATTCTTCTCTTGATCGAAATCTAAGATTTTTGGTGTTGATTTGAGACTCACAGCTATCACCCTAAGGGCATGGAAATTATACATTCTACACAATGTGTTTAAAGGTTACCCTGACTTTTGTCATTGTTTCACTGCATGGTTATAAATATTTGGACAACCCAAAATACCAAAACTACCATCTCAGAACAAGACAAGAAAAAAGTGTGTGGTCAAATTCATATACTTTGTTGCAATTTGTAATTGTTCCACTATTGAATATCAACTAGATGCAGGTTAAATTCTTGAAGCTTACTAAGCTTGATAGTGATTATTTCTCACATTGAATCAATTGAAATTAGGCTTTTAATTAAAAGAATATTTTGAATTACCTGTTCACTTTCAGGTTCAGAGTCTGTATCAGTATCAACCATCAAATACTTCTTCTCCCTGTAAAAGTACTTCTTCTGCAGCAAATACAGCACTACAATGTCGCACAAAACTGTAGCCTACAATGGTAGAAACAAGGCATGACGAAATTTCATCGTGTAAAGGGTGTGACTTCCATATGTTGAGTTTGTCCAAATAAGGCATTCCCAATAATTCTGATTGAACTACAGTGTCTTCATATATTTCTTTCAAATATCCTTTGCTTAATCAATTGCCTGCCTTAAATGGTTTACAGTCAATTTGCCACCGCAACAAACTTGCCACCACCCATCTTCTTTGTTTCACACGAGAGGCTACACATAATGTTTAAAAGTCAAATTGCCACCAGTGACGATGTCACTTTCATTGGTGGCAAAGTTTGTGGTGGCAAGTTTGTTGTGGTGGTGAATTGACAAGGTACCCCTTAGATACATGCCCTCCATTGGTGAAATAGTTAACTTGACCCACCTCTCTTTCCACTGCCCTCCCAATTCACCCAGTGCCACTGTCCTTTCCCTCACTCTCTTAATCAAGTCAAGATCTCATAAAATAGATAGGATCCCAGATGTGATTTGCACACACAAAAATGTAGGTTGTAAGGGTTCCAATAATTATTGCTGACATAATTTACTCTTACCTCCAAACATTCTGGGAGTTCTAGCAAAAGTTGAAACTTACCAGAACATTTTCCACTTAATTACAGTATGCCTGGATAAATCAGTATTCCTAGAAAAATTCACCCCCTTTAAAGCAAAATACAAGACAATCCCCCCTAAAGTTTATCATCTGGTGACAAATGCGTTGTTTGTAAGTTACTGTTAGTAAAAGTAGCATAAGTATCTAGTTTAATGTTACTTACAATGCCAAGCAAGGCAAGGCCTGAACCCAAATTAAGGAACAGTGGAATCGCACTAAACTTTCCTCCCTACAGACATGAGAAAATGGCAATTGATGTGGGCATATCATGAAAGAGAACAAATTTAACATACTCACAGCTCAAATTACAGAGAATGTAATCTTGACACTTGAACATTACCTCTCCATAAACCATGATCATGAATCGTATTCCATAAGCCTTAAACAAAGTCCTGTAAAGAACATCGTCTTGAACAAAGTAATTAGCATGTCTGAAACAAAGTTGACATAGGTATTTTGACTTGAACTAACCAAGAATACAGAAAATCAGTGATAACTGAAAGTTATCTGATAGAAGTAAATCTACTATTTATTTACAAGTCCAGTAAACCCTAAGCTCCAAGCTTCAGTATCAATTGCAGTTGCAAAAATATTATTGTGATTAAAATTAGAATTTGTGTTCCAAGGGAACTATAAAGGATAAAAGTCTACACAAACTGACTTCCAACATTACTGACTGTTACATATGATGCACGATCCTCAGGAGGACTGGGTTGGAGGACTGGGTAGGAGGACTGGGTAGGAACATGTTTAGCTGCAGGTCATGACCTACAGTCAGAGAACAGCAAGAACTATGGGTCAAGGCTATAAGTCAAATATTTTCTCCCTGGCCTGACCTAACTAAGACAATATTAAGCCTTTTATCATGTGATTGACTGTTACTCTTTCTCATTCTTCCTTTCTTCTCCCAGCCTTCATCTTATTGGGTCACACGCTTTATTCCAACCCTACTCAGACCACCATATACAACTCTCACATGGGTATCTCTTTATAATGACTTTGAATAAAAGAGTGTAAACATGGCCATTGATGTGGTGTGATAAAGATATTTATTTTTTAACTAATGGTAGGAAGCTTCACTATAATCCAAGCTGAGTAAACTATTACTTAAAAAAAAAAAAATTCCAATTGGACGCATTCCAGATAAAAACATTTTAAATTAATCACCTTCTGAATGAGTACTTAGGATCACAGAAATATGCCAGAGAGTCAAAATTACAGTTCCATGTTATGACTATGGCAATCACCCCACCCTTAAAAGAAAATGAAAAGAAAAAAAACAAAGATTATAAGTGTTTATTGAAATGAAAGAAAATCAAAGGTAGGATGTGGATATCAGGGGCTCCTTATGTTTTGAAGTGGAAGGGAACCAAGGGGAGAATGTTTAAGAAAAAACCACAGCTTGAAGTGAACTTTTTATGTCTAATTTGATCTCATGGTTGATAGATACACACACTTATATGTAATCTGGGCCTTAGCCTCTAATAAGAATCCTTAGTAAGGATATGTATTTTATTTTTTCATATTATGAGAGACCTCTCTGAACAAATTCCCCAATAACATCGCCATGACATACCTTAAAAGCAATATCTTCGAAGTCCACACCTGCCAATTCTACCATTTTTCCAAGCTTGAAGATTGGACAGAGATGATCAGTGTGTGGGTCATATTTGCAGTTCTTCAAGTAGGTTTCATTTTCTGTCTTGATGTTTCTCCTAAATCATCCAGGAGCATAGAAACAAACAAATATCACAATCCACTATCCAACATGACCTCTTTTAATTTGTACCACTAGTTCAAAACTATCTTTTTTAAATTATTATATACTTACAGAGATTCGCCAAACTTTGGAAACTGTACATTGTTCTTTATGAGAAGGGTGAAATCCTTGGCAGCATCAAGAAGTGGAGTAGTGTGACTATTAAAGACATTTACAATTTTAAAACAACTTTGGGTTAATGTGGTATACCACAACTTAAACAAAAAGACTCAGAACCGCTATTAAAAAGGGCATTGGGGTTTATTACAAACGTAAAACTGTAGAAAAAATTATCCAAAACCCCAAAATCCCAAAAAAGTTTCAATCAAAACTGAAAATCCCATGGAAAATTGTCAACACCAACAAATTTTCACGTTCAGTTATGAAAACCCTAATCAGTCTGAGGCACTGGTGACAAGTGGAGCATACAGAGGTTTCACAGCTATTTAACATCAGTCGAGATGCAAAATTGCCACTTGGATTGAAGAGAAACAAGAACCCGTCTAGGAAAAACCCAAAATCACATTGGATACCAAATCCTAAAACTCCTTCACTTGGCATTTTTTATGGGAAACAGAAAACCAGATGCTAAAAAACGGTAAAATCTGCAAAATGCAATGCACACCAAAACTGAAAAAAGAAACAAAGTTTTTTGGCACAAAAGCTGAAAAACTTGTCAAAAACAAAGCCAAAACCCCAAACAGAGTAACCTAATGCTCCCCTCCCATGAAATCTCACACACCTTAAATTGTAACCCAGCATGGGAAGGTCATCAATCTCTACTGGGCACCAGGCGTAAATTTCCCAAACTTGACCATAGGGAGGTCTATCAGCTTTTACGCATTTCCCAGTCTTGAAGCCTTTATGTGAACAATAGAGAAAACCATATATATAAATGAGAATTTTATCCTTATCACAATGCAAGTTCTACATGACCCAACAAAGCTTAACTCTGCAAGTTACTTTTATTATGATTTACTTTGCCAGAATTTGGATTTGTAACAGGACACAGTTTACTAGTCTTCAGTTACATTATTCTCATAATTTAGCAGTTTGTTTTAGTAAATTAAATCATTAAAATTTTGTAAAGATTGCAAAATTTTGCACTGAGTGATTATTGGGAGGTTCTTCCCAAAAAGGTCTCCTTTATCAGGTTTCAATTTCATGAAAGGCTGGAAACATCTATCATTTAGATATTCAAAAGGCATTTGCTAAAACCAATTCAAAAAGGGTTCAGAAAAGGGTTGCAGTTCTTATAAGAATAAGAATTCGTTTTTGAAAGGGATACCAAGAGGTAAACTGACACTGTGAATGGCCTACCATTGCCATTCTTGACAGGTTCAAAAGGAGTACAATCACTGTCATTTTTGCATCTCACATCAGCAAGGTCTGGGTCCTCAGGACACTTGGACTGAGTTTGGTTGGGTGAGATTACCATGTTTGTCATGACAAACACAGCATCATTTTCCTTTTTGAGAATAGGTATAGAAAAAAATAAGATACATGTGAGTGTGATCTTTTGTATTGACCTACCTATGTTGAACACTTGAGTCATTAATTTGGCATTTTGCTTAAAAATTGCTAACCAAATTTTTTCTACTTGCAATAGTGCCAAAAATGGTTGCATGTTGGAGCTTTGTCTATTTTCAAGTGTAGAGGGACCCTCTCTATCTTAGCAATGAAAATGTGCATAATCTATTCAAGGCTGTGGATAGTAGTTAGAGAAAGAACCTGAAAAGTTTTTAAGCATACCTCTGAGGGTATCACAAAATCAGATGAGTCCCAAACATGAAATCCACCATACAGAAAGAGTTCCCTGCTCTTGTTTGTTAAATTTGTGAATGACAATCCCTTGACTTTTGTGGTCACTGAACTGTATGGCTTCTGAAACTCTTGGTAACCCTTCTTGTAAACAATCACATATCTGCAAGTTTTAAAAGGCTTCAGAAAACGTACCAGGCCATTCTTTTGTAAATAAAATGAACTGTTCTTTCTTATACATAAGAAATGTATTCACTATCTATGATTAAAAAAATAATTGAGGAATTTATCAAGATATAGGGACTGATTATTGGAATCTTTCCGGGAGCCGCTGTCATTTGATAATTAAGGAAGCATATGTATGCTTGTGGCAATCTGCGGTCTTTCCTTACACTCAGGTAGCA